TATCATTGATTTTTATATTATTTTTATGAATTTTAGTATTCTAGAAGTCTAAAAAATTATAAAGCTGAACAACCATATCAGCATGCAGTTTATTACCTTGCTGTATTATTATCAGAACAAATTTGGATGAAGGATGAATTATTAAATGCCTTGTCTTGTAAGTTTGTAAAATATCTAGATATTTTAATTAATAAATAGATAAATAAAAAATATTCATTATAACTATTATCTTCTTTACAATTTATTATTAATATCACAATATAATATATAATATTATACAATATATTTTATATTTAATATTATAGAATTTATATTATATTATAGAATTTTCCAAAATATTCTTAATAATTTAAGATAAAAATATTAAAATTTTTATTTATTATATTTATATCTAGACTTAACTGTTGAAAAAGTTGAAAATTTTATTCCACAATTTTTGAGTAAAATACATATGGAATGTTTAATACATGGTAACATGACAATGTCAGAAGCTATAGAAACAGCAAGACTGATAGAATCAAAATTATCAAATGCAATTCCTCATATAATTCCACTTTTATCTAGACAATTAATTTTACATCGTGAAATCAAATTAGAAGATGGTAAGTATATTTAATCTTTTATATTAAAATAATTTATCATAATTTATAATTATAATTTAATAATATATATAATTATAATTTTTCAAATAATATCTGTAGTAAAATTTATCATAAATTTGGATATATCAAACAAAAATTTTTATAAAAAATCTTTATAAATATTATCTTATATTCTTTGTCACATTAAATTATACCAATTTTATATATTATTTATGTATTTTAATTATTTATAATAGTTTTTTTGTTTTAAGAAAAATATTTTTCCTAGGTTGTCATTTTTTATTTGAAGTGCAAACTAAATATCATAGCAGTTCATGTACACAAATTTACTGCCAAACTGGTTTACAATCAACAGAATCAAATATGTTACTAGAACTTTTAGCACAGATTTTATCAGAACCTTGTTTTACTACACTAAGAACTAAAGAACAATTGGGATATATAGTATTTAGTGGAGTACGAAGAACAAATGGTGCACAAGGTTTAAGAATTATAGTTCAAAGTGATAGACATCCTAAATATGTTGAACAAAGAATTCATACATTTTTAAATTCTATGCTGGTTAGTAATTAAATTTTAAATATTACTAAATATTCAGAATTTGCATTCAAACTTAATATATTTCAGCAAAATATTTCATCTATGACAGAAGAAGAATTTAATGCACATAAAGAATCATTAGCAATACGACGACTTGAAAAACCTAAACAAATGACCACTTTATCTTCGATATTTTGGAATGAAATTGTATCACAACAATATAATTTTGATCGAGCAAATATTGAAGTTGCATATTTAAGAACTATAACAAAAGAACAAATATTAGAATTTTATAAAGTACGTATCTAATAATATTATTATTTAAATAAATTTATATAAGTATATAATTAAATAATAATTAAATAAATTTAAATACATATATATTGTAATATGAATTAAATTTTTTACATTTGTAGAACATACTTCGAAATGATATTCAACGTAAATTATCAGTACACGTAATTTCTACATTAAAAGATCAAAATTCAAACAATGAAAAAGCAGTGGAATCGAATAAAAATACTGAACAATCAAATGAAATAAATAATACTATTGAATATAAAAAAATTGATGATATTTTGTCTTTTAAAATTAGTCAGAATTTATATTCATTGCCAAAACCATTTACTGATGTACCAAGGAAGGGAGTACATTCGTCAAAATTATGACCAGCTTAATAATAATTGTGAATATGTGTTTTAATCATGTCATTCTATCAGCAGATTGTAGTGAATATCAAGTAAATAAATAATTCTAACATGCTCTGTTACATAAATAAAATTGTTTAAAATATTAAACAATTTTTTGAAAATATTAATTTTATAAATATTAATAAATAGAAAAATAAAAAAAGTAATAAGTACATTAAATGGAAATGTTAAATATAATAATAAAAAATATGTCAAACATATATTGAAGTTACATATATATTTTATTTATTTCTATATAAATCTATAAATAAATATATTATCAATAATACATTAGCATTTACAATTATGTATTTAATGCATTAAGAAAAAGATAAATTTAAATTGTTTTATTATACATTAAAATTTCTATATAAATAATTTTTATATTATTTTCTAATTTAAGATTTAATTAAAATTTATATCTCAAATGGAAAATATTTTAAAAATTTTATAACTCAATTTTTATTCAATAGATTATTAAAAAAAAAAATGTTATAAAAATTGAGTTAATTGATTAAAAATTAGCACATTAGTAATAAGCAAATATATTGTGATAATTCAATTTTTTTTATTTCTTTTTATATAAAGATTTGTTTAACATATTGGCAAGATTCTTCCAATTAAAAAAAGACCAGCATAATATAAATTGAATTATATTTATTTATTAATTTTAATTTTGAATTATTAAATTTCATTCAAAATAATAATAATAATAATAAATATATTAGAAAAATATCTTAAAAAGTCTTTAATCACATTTAAAATATTAAAGATAATTTCTGTATAGCTTCACGTAATATTATCTCGTTTTGTGTAAAAATTTCACAGCATAATTAGAATTTGTTCTATTCGATTAAATATAAATAAATTAAAATATATATTTTGCAATTTTAACTGGAAAATTATTAATACAATTATATCTTCAAATAGAGCATCATTGAATTATTAAGATGAAAATTATTCAAATCGATTACACGTGACATTCAGTTGATACTAATAATATTTATTAAATAATCCAATATAATATTATTTACTAATCTAATTGTTATAATAGATTACTTATTTTTAATAAGTAGATTTTATTTATGAATTTTTGTCATAAATAAGTTAAGAAAGAATATTTACATTAATAAACAATAATTATATAAATAAATTAATGTTAAGAAAATTACCTACTTATATCTCAGAATTATAAAGCTGCTTGTTTTCATTTAATCATAAAAATATTTTATTGGATAGATTATAAAGTATTTTCAATATTTTATTTTAAATTTTTTGGAGAAAGAATTATTTATTTCACATATTATTGTTTTTTATTTATTCTTTTCTTTTTTTTGTATATATTTTTATTTCTTTAATATAATTTTTTTATATATACTTTTTTTTTTTATTTTTTATATTATACTTTTCTTACATATTTTTCAATATTTCTAATTCATGCATATTATTATGCATATTATTTTACATATATAATGTCTAATAATATATATAATTAGATTCGAGTAAAAAATAATAAAAAATAATTCATATCTATGTTATAAGTGAAGAACAAATTTTATTAGAAATTAGCTTTTATTACGAAAGTTAGAAATAGTTCTAATTTTCCATAAATATAAATATTTTATATTATAATTTATTTTATTATTTATTTATAATATTATTTATATTCTAATATTAATATTTAATTTATTTAGTATATTATTTATAATATTATTACTTAGAGAAAAAAATTTATAAAATTTTTTTGTCAATATCATAATTTTATTCTATTTTAGTTTATATTAAAACAAATACATTTGAAAAACTTGTTTGTAAACAAGAATAAAAATATGTTAACGCTTTATTAAATATATACATATATTTATTTATTTATTTTAAATATATTGAATAATATGAACACATATATTAAATTAAATAGTATTGACATGTATACCGCTATTCTTAATAAATATACCATTTCTTAAAATAGATGTCGTTATATTCTTTTTCTTAATAGATGTCAAATTTTAGTTTTAATACTGTATTTTGAATTGTTTAGATGGCGTTAAAAACGCTTTGCGAAATGCAAATTCGAGTATCCTATCTATTTCTTGTCAATTGTGGCTTCTCTTCAAGTTGATTCTCTTCGGTTTCGCTGATCTCAAGTGCTCAAAATCCTCTTTGAGATATTTCGTATCGCCCTTATACACCTGAAAAGGGGTAGTTCTACAGTTGGACGTGCATCTAAGTAAGTTAAGAAGTAAAAGTTTTTAAAAAACTTAAATAATAGTTGTTCATTTATAAGATAACCTGATCTTTATAAAAGGTTCAACTTTTTTATAAATTTCAGCCATCGCGGTTTCATTGTATGACCTTAATTTTAGAAATGATAAATTATTTAAAATATATATTTTTTAACATATATTTAAGAATGCTAATAATTCTATAAAGTAAATTTATAAGTAAGAATCTTGACGTAATAGAATATATTTAATGAAAGTCGCCATTTGTCAAAGAAGTGCCAACAGATTTAAAGTCAAATGCCAGCTCATTATGATTGCATTATAGTTTCTTTTTTAACCTTATTAAATTTATATCTTACAATATAAATATTTTTAATAAATATAAGAGCAATTTTATTTAAAACAATTATAATAATTTTTAAAATCTATGTTAAATATGTTTAACATAAAGCAAACAATATTATAAATATATTAAGTTTTTTTAATTTACAAAAAATTGAAAAGTTTTAAAACATATTTATTAAAATTTCTATTCTTTCAGAAAGGTATTGTATGAGTCAAAAAATAGAAAAACCAATATTATCAGGTCAACGCATAAAGACCAGAAAAAGAGGTATGTTTTTAAAAATATAATTATTATAATTATTATGTACACAATTATACAATTATTATAATTTAGATGATATGTAATGAAAATTACATATATAAAAAATAATATTTTAGATGAAAAAGAAAAATATGACCCAATGGGATTTCGAGATGCGATTTTACTTGGTTTGGAAAAGGCTGGTAACGACTTAGATGCAATTTCAAAGTACTTGGACGCAGCTGGCTCTAAATTAGATTACCGCCGATATGGGGAGGACTTATTTGACATCTTAATAGCTGGTGGACTTTTGGTTCCAGGCGGTTCTATTGCTCAAGATGGTGATAAACCAGTTAAAACTACTGCTTGTGTTTTTGAACAACCAGAAGATATGGAATCTATGCGAAATTTTGAACAAGTAATATATTCTATTCTACATATATTTAAAAAAAGTATTTTTCTATAAGACTTTCATTCATATAATATAATATATAATAATAAAATATTTAATATTTTGAAAATAATTATTTATAGGTTTTTATTAAACTTATGAGACGTTATAAATATCTGGAAAAAATGTTTGAAGAAGAAATGAAAAAAGTATTGGTTTTTATGAAAGGTTTTACTCCTAAAGAAAGAATAAAATTAGCTAGAATGACAGCTCTATGGATATCCAATGGTTCTGTTCCACCTACTGTTTTATCAGTTTTAATTAATGAACATCTGGTTAAAGACAACTTAGCATTAGACTTTCTATTAGAAGTTTTTGTCACTTGGAGACAGGAAAAAGGTCTATCAAGTTTAATGACTGCATTGAAAAAAGGCAATATTGAAGGAAGGTATGAGAAAATTTCATATTCTAAAATCTATTGTTATATCTATACTCTTTTATATCTATTGATTTTTTATTTTATTTTTATTTTTTTTTATTTTTATTTTTTTTATTTTTTTTATTTTTTTTATTTATTTATTTTTTTTTTTTCAATACTAATCAATAGGTTAATGGAATTTGTGCCGCCTAATAAACGAACCGAAGAGTATTTTCGATCTGTATTTGAAGCTGTTGGTCTTGCAGACATTGTAAAATTACATAAAGCTCAAGCAAGTCAAGAAGCAAAACGAGACTTGCAACAATTATTATTGGATGATTTGGCTGATAATCGTCCTTTAAAAGATATTATACTTGATCTCAAAGAAATGGCACAAAAGAGTGGTATTCCTGAACATGAAGTTATTGGCCTGGTAATTATTCTTTTATGGCTACTATTATTATATTATAATACATTATATTATATTATGTTACAATATTATAATAAAAATTTTTAGATTTGGCTTGTAGTTATGGGTCAAGCTGAATGGAATAAAAAAGAAGAATTAGTGGCTGACCAAGCACTGAAACATTTAAAAGTATACACTCCACTGTTTGATGCTTTTACAACCACTGCCAGATCTGAGCATGCGCTTATTCTCAAAGTCCAGGAATTTTGTTATGAGAATATGAACTTTATGAAAGTCTTCCAAAAAATTGTTTTACTATTTTATAAAAGTATGTTTGTGTAATATTAAACATATAGTAGATAAATGATTTCTATTTGTTTCATCTTTTTATCTAATGTTTTTTATTTTAGCGGATGTAATATCGGAAGAAGTAATTTTGAAATGGTATAAGGAAGGCCATTCTGTTAAAGGAAAAATGATGTTTTTAGATCAAATGAAAAAATTCGTTGAGTGGTTACAAAATGCAGAAGAAGAATCTGAATCAGGAGAAGAAGAAGATTAAAAACACAAAAGTATGTTTAATCAATATTTTATAGTTTTATTTTTAATTTTAGTTTTATTTTTATTATTATATTATTATTTATATTATTTCAGAATAATATAAGCTTCATTATCAAAAAAAAAAAAAAAAAAAAAATATATATATATATAT